TGTCATACCACTGACAATTCATGAATATCACTGACTGCTCTATGAGACCTTCAAAGATAAAGATAATTCAAGCGAGCTAACTAAAGAATCACTCATTGAAGATAAGCAAGATGTTAGATCAACTATAGAGGAATTGACTTTATTCTTCAGAAGCCAGATGATAGCTGGATACTGCCATAACCCTATCTATTTCAAAGCTATAGACAGCTCTAGACATGGAGATCTCGCCCCCTATAACATATCCAACAGAATAGACTATACCAGTACTCATTATGGTAAGCATTGTCTATACATTCCAAAGAGTCATATGTTCAATGGAATGACTATTAGAGAATACGTCATTACTGAAATCCACAACAAAGAACATCATAGTGCTGACCGCAATCTCCAATATGCCTCAGAATATATTTACTGGCCTGAAATATGAAAGGATTTCCACGATTTTGTCAAACAATGTGAACTCTGTCAGGTAAATAAGGAATGAACACAACTATCTGAAGGGAAGGTCCAGATCCTCCAGTTACCTTGCAAAATATTTGAATCCTTTGCTATCGATTTCGCAGGACTATTCAATAAGTCCACCGATTATGACAGTATCTTGATAGCTATTGATCAATTTTCTGGATATACATAGCTTATACCAATGAAGTTCACCAACTTCTCCAAAGATACTTGAAATAACCTCAAGCAATAACTATTTAGCCCCCATGGATACCCATTGTCTATTGTCAGTGATGCTAATCTCCGATTCACAGCCAAATTCTTGAAACAAACCTTGACTTTCCTTGGAATCCACCATATTATACCTGCTCCTAGACATCAGGAGACTAATGGCCAAGCTGAACAGAAGATCATTGAAGTTAAGACGAGAATTTGGAACATGATCAATAAATAACAGACTAACTAGGAATCCACCCTTGCCGAGCTTACCGCATATCTCAATGCGGAATATTCGGACACTTTAGGAATGTCTCCATCCAAGGCAATCTTCAGCCATCAATGCTCTCTCCTGCCTACAACCCTATTCAAGAACTCCTCAATACCCACCTCTAATAACTACTTAAATAGCCATTAAGCTATCTGGAATGATACCTTTCAAGCTGTTAAAGCAGTACAATTCCGAAGTACAACTGCTGCCCAGATATGACGATGCAAACATATTTCTATTCTACCAGGTGACATGCTTACTAACTATGAGAACATGTTTATTACCAATATTAGATGTAGCAAGAAAATACAACCACAATGGCAAGGATCTTTCAAGGTTTTATTCTTTGATGAGCATACAGAAAACTACACTATCCAAATAGATAGAGACATGTATTGCCACAATACTGCTGTTTTTACACCTCCGCTGTCAAACGCTTCCACCCTAATAACAACTTCAAGTTCCCTGGAAGAACCCACTCTCGGCCTGCACCGATCATCATCGATAAGAAGGATGAATGAAAAGTTGAAGAAATGTGAGACCACTGCCTGTAGCATAGAAATGATCAATTCCTGGTCAAATGGAAAAGATACCCAATGAGTGAAAACAGCTAGGAACTACTGGAATAGTTAGAGGACGCTAAGGACATGGTGAATAAGTGGTAGGAAGACCACATTCTAAACGATTCCCTACTGCCAACGATTAACAACATTATGATATGTTGGACACCAACTATGCCAGAAACTGAGCGATGGCAACTTGAACTAGGAGCCAGTGATAGATTTTAGGTACCATACTTCAAGTCGGAACTTGAAAGCAGCAATGAGTCAAATCAGGCTATGGAACAAGCCCTCAATGATCTCATCTAATCACCATTCACTATCCGACTATTGTGCATTGACAAAATTAACTGCAATTCAACAATCGGTGGCAACCCACCCCTCTTGATCATCCTGCACTCTCAACGGTACCTAAAAAAATTGCTCTAAGCCAACCAAGAAGAAACCATTCTGCTCAATTCTTTTTTTCAATAAAATAAACCTCCTATTCTTTGCAGTTATGCTAAAAAAACATATTCCCTCTATACATCTTTTTGAGTTTACCAGGGGGAGGATTCTCAAGTTACACAAGTCTCAGATGAGATATCAGCAAATTTCCCACTATCTTAAAATCCCCTACACTACTGTTAGAGACACAATTGCAAAGGGACATCAAGAAGGCAAGGAGAATAAGAGTAAAGGAAGATATCCTAAAACTACCCAGTCACAGCATGATGCTATAGTGGAGGAAGCTCTTAAAAATTGCCATCCTACCTATTCTGACATTGCTGAACAAGTTGCTTCCAATGTTTCTAGTAGGACAGTAAGGAGAAAACTTGAAAAAAAGCATCTTAAAAAGTGGATGGCACAAGCGAGAGTTCATTTGAATGAGGATCTAGCTCAAGAGAGGTTGGAATGAACATTAGCTCATAGATATTGGACAAAGGAGATGTGGAGAAGGAAGTCAATGTGTGGGAATGAGGCAGCAGTGGAAAGGGGAGGAGGAAAGAGGAGAAAATGTGTTTTCAGATACCCATATGAAAAATGGAATAAGGATTGTATTGAACCTAAGGCTAGGAGAGGGGAGAGAGGGATTAGCCAAATGATGACTGGTTATTTTTATAGTCAAACTCATGGTCTTTTTTTGCCTGTTTTTTCTGAACCTTCTTCGACTAGGAGTACAGTTACTGGGAAGTTAATTATTAATGTTTATGATTATTATGACTTTCTAGGAATATGGAAGAATATCAGAGAAAAGGCTAGAGAAGAAGAGGTATTTTTTATGATTGATAATGCTAAGACTCACTTGCCTTTTAGGACATGGCTCAAAGGGCAGGGAATTACACTGATGGAAATTCCTGCCTATTCACCAAATCTCAATCCAATTGAAAAATATTTGGTCTCTGGTGAAAGATAAGCTTCACAAGTACTACCCTGAGCTATATCTTATGAAGAGTATTGTCAATGTGGTCAAGAAGGCAATAGTAGAGGCCATTACTAATTGTTGGAAACTTCTTGACCCAAAGGTTTTTGATAATTTATCTAGATCAATGGTGGATAGAATAGAGGCAATTATTAAGGCTGATGGATGGTATACCAATTATTAATTTCTACTATGTATTTACATCTTTTAATTTTTTGGTTAGTTTTCATGATAGTGGATTGGTTGATGAGTGTGGTTGTCATCACCAAAGATTTTCCTCTATTGAATCGCGGTAAATTTTGTCCACACACAATACCATAACAATGTCAAACTATGTGGAACTCAATGTGAGGCTGCAATAACAGCTTATTGGACTGCTGCTGAACCGTGATATTATCTAACCTGCAGACTACTTCGCTATCCTCTGCATAGACTACTGCCCTGATTGCAATAATGATTAGGTAGACATATAGCATAAATTTAGTATTTGTCACTACTGTGATATACATTTCTTTGAGTCTCAATATTTTCTTAGAATTTTTTCTTGTCCATGGTATGACACTTATGATGAAGAACTTATAGTGGAAACTAAAGCCTTTAGTTTCTCAGACTCTGCTTTTAACTATTATTAGGTTTTGTTCATTTCAATAGTTGTTTTATTTTGGAGAATGTAACCGGTATAGGTACTTGGTTATTGGTTTGTTTTATATTTTGTTTTAAGTATTACTTTGATACTTAGTTTGTTTTAAGTATTGTTTGATACTTGGTTTTGTTTTATGTTTTATTTTAAGTATCATTTTGATACTTAATTTATTTTACTAAAGTGTATCACTTAATACTTTTGTTTACTCCGTTCATGCTAGATATGAACAGATTTGTGTATTTAAAGACCCCCTCATTCTACGATAGAAATGGCAGACTTCGACAGACAGTATTTTAATATACTTGATTGAACTGTTACTCTTTGTTTTCTCAGTCCACCTTCAAAGCCTCCTTTATTTACAGCTCTTGCCTCTTCTTTGGTAGAGTAGGCCACCTGTTAAACTATCATACATTTACCCAATACATGACTAGCACCTTGCGAACACATTACTGTCTAGTAGCAACCACAACAGTAGCAGGCAAGAAACGGGCGTAAGTTTGTTGTATCAGGAACTCTAAAGCATAGCCAGAGAATCCTTATTCATGGTAGAAAAACACTTGCTGCCTATCCAAAATCCACCCCCCAAAGCCACTACTATCATGTCTTAGTTGAAAAGCTGTTCAATGCAGTAGCTCAAGCTAAGGCAGATAAGGTTATTCTTACCATAGAAAATTAAAACTTACGCTCTAAGGCAACCTCAGCTGCAAATAAGGAAAAGACAAAAAGCAGGGAGGAGATGTCTCAAGCATGAGTTATTTCTGTCCAGGATGTACTTAGAATCTGTGAGGAACAGGAAAAAAAGAGAAGATTACGATACAGAAAAGAGTAAAAGCTGCTGACCGCCGTGTAGCCAAAGCAGCAAAACTCACCACACACCCCTCAACCCTCAAGCCCAAGCCAAACTCCAACAAGATGACCACTTTGGAGCATAGTTCAGATATTCTCCAATTAGAGAATTTGAACATTGGTTCTGGGCCATAGTCTGAATGGGTGGAAAGTGGGAATAGTACCCCCTACATGGTCCGCAATAGTTCTGTTATCAGGCAAACTGGGTAAAGGATTACTCGGAGCAGGTTTAGAAATACATCCTTGGATGCATAAGTGGGATGGACTGGGTTTTTTTATTTGTTTTCAGTTTTTCTTTTTTTAGGGATGCGTGGAATCCGTTGTGAGATGGCTTTTGGGCGGTTTCCCAGGGAAGTACGTTATGCGTATGTGTGTCTGGGGGGTATCATAATAATATTATGATATGTTTAGTTGAGGTGGAATTAGCGGGTTTTGGTTTTTCGATTTGCAGTTTATGGTTTTGTCATACTATTTATATTTGCCCGCTTTCTGCGGGAGTGATGGTTTGTGACCGGACCACGGCTCAGTATTATCGCAACATAACAGCTGTTTGGAGGTTTAATAGTATGATAGCAAGGTAAAAGACCCTCGTCCTATGACGTCAGATCAATTCATCTCTTCTTTTCGCCCTATAGATTAATGTTACATCCTATCTACAGTTTCACACGAGTACATAGAACCCACATAACCCCCCCCCCCAACTAGAAAAAATAAATAAGAGAAAGCAACTAAAAATAAATAAATAGAAATCAAAGGGATCGACCAAATTCCCCATCCGAAACCAGACCGAACCGAACACGGGTTCTAGAAGAAAGAAAAAAAACACCACCAGAAACGCCAAATGCAGTATTAACAATAAAAACAAATGTATAGTAAGAGTGAAAAAAAAAAAAAGGATCAAAGCTCACTAGCCTTCAAACAAAAAATTACATCCCCTTCAAGCGCACTATTCCGCCCAGCAATGTACCTAGTCCTACGCCATTCCCCCTCTGGCTCAGCCTCCCCTTCGCCCTCGACCTGGCCCGCCTCTTTGAGGTACACCGCGCTGTTAAGGATGTCTTCAATCTGGCCCTGTAACCTCTTGACATCTTCGTTGTCGCCATCGTCTTCACCGGATGTGGACCCACCATCAAAAATTGGATTAAGGTCTTCATAATCGAACCTGAACGCATCACCGACGCTGCTAGCAGTAGAGCACATGCTCATCGGGACAGGCTTTCTCTTAGGGAAGCACATGCCCGAGCTGTGGACCTTAAGGGGACTCAGGAAGTTCGGGGACGAGTTGTGTTCCACCTCCACTGATGGTTGAGGATTGTTGAATTGCTGGCGGCCAGTGACGGGGGATTCCTCGTCCGGGAGAACAACGACGGCGGGGTCAGTGCTGGTAGTATTAGCTGTGGGCTCCTCCTTCCTTGGTGTTGAGGGGCAGGAAGGAGAGTCGGAGGGGCTCGGAGTCCGTGGGGAGGATGTGGTTACGGTCGACGCAGACTGGCATGGGTAGCAGAAGTTTTCGAACCATTCCACCAGCTCGACGGCATAGCCGAGGTCGACGTCAAAATTGCCTGTCGTGCTAGTCTTGTCGGGGGTTGGGCTTGTGGGAGGGCTGGAGAGAGGGGAGAGTTGTGGGAGTGTGGATTGTTCGCTTGAAAAGAGTGGCTTGGTAGGGGTTGGGGCGGGAACAGCGGGCAGGGGTAGCTTGGAGTATACTTCTTGGCTTTCACGGGAAGGTGGAGGACTCTGCGGGCCACGCGGGCTCCGTGGCCTCGGGGACCGTCTTCTAGCAGGTGAGCGTGATTGAGGTGGGGTGGAAGGAATAGTGCCAGGGAGTTCAACCAGAGGAATAATCGGAGGAGAGACATCCCCAGGTCGAGGCTTTGGTGGGGGTGGGGGCGGCAGTTGAGCGATCTGTGGCTGAGGGACCGGTTGAGGCGAGCTGACCGAAGGCGGAGAGGGCGAAGGACTATTCCGTCTCGGAACAATCTTGGTCGCCAATCGGCTAACAAAGTCACGATCACCACTATCAGAATTGCTCCGATCCCGAGATGTCGGGAGCTTATTATAGATGCTATACACCGTGTCCAGAACATCCGAAGTTCTGCTGACCGGGGTCTTTTTTGCCCTCCCCAGAGAAGACCTTGGCTTAGGCATCGGCGGAGAAACCGGCGGGGGTGGAAGCCCAGTCTTTCCTGCTACGCCAGTTGGTGTAAGCGGAGGAGGCACAATCCTCAAGTCAGAATTGTTCCTTCTAGTCAGCGAACCCGATCTTCCGAGTAAGGTAGAAGATGGTAGAGGAGGAAGTAATGGTGACTCGATATGTGTCAATGGCCTAGGGCCAGGACTCGGCTGAGGTGAGTTGGAAGAGGAAGGAGCGACGCAGGTGGTATCGCTCGGTCCTTGAGGAACAGTTGGAGGAGTGGCACCAGGAACGGACCTTACACCCCAAGCATTATCCGGGAGGTTGTTCTTCGGTCGCGAGCGGTTGTGAGCAGAAGGAGGCTCGACAGGAGAACTTGAGGTGGACGAAGACGACTTATGTGATAACGTCGGGCTTCCCCTGTGCACTGGCCGCAGCTCAGTTCTCGTGACAACCCGTCCTGATGGAGCGTAATATGTCGCACTCGTAGCGATCGCCGGGGTCAGACCTCTTCCGCCTGGTGGCGGAGCAATGAACCATGGCTTTGACTTTGAAGACTTCACGTACTTCCTCGGAGGCGGAGCAACGAACGGAGCTATGGGTGCTGGTGCGGGATTATGCTGCTGCTGGTTCCCATGACCGCGTTTCTCAATCATAAACATCCGCATTTGGTGCTCGAGGTCGAACGATCGAGGGTTCGTGGAGGAAGCGGGGACATTCGGAAGGGACGAGGATGCCGGAATGACAGGAGAAGTGTTAGGCTTGGTGTGTTGTATTGGGGGAGAACCCCAGAGGGCCTGGGTGTTGACAGGCTTGATGCTCGTCATGATGCTCTCTCTCCTCGGTAACTCTTTTCTCCTCTAAATTTCAATTTCAATCGATTTTTTCCCTCTCTTCCGTTCTTGCTCGTGGAGGATTTCGTCTCTTTTCCTTTCCCCTCGCAACAATGGATTCAGGTTCCCCGGCCAGGATGGTGGTTGAGGAGTTTGGTGGTGTGGTGGGAGGCTCGTTGGTATCGTTCAAGAAAGTGGAAGGGAGAACAGAGCGACGTTCTACGCCGAAGGACACAGTCCGAATGATCTGTCTGGGAGACGTTGGGGTCACGCTCGCACACTGTGGAAATTGAAGGACGAAGCCTCTGTCATGCGAAAACTGCACGAAGCGAGAGGGCAGGAGGCGCGCGTCGTCTCAGGCTGGGCAGGATGAGGGAAGGAAGGGATGAGAGGAGGGAGGGAGGGGGCTCAAGAAGTAGGAAGGTAATGCAGAGCAGCCAGGGACAGGGCCAAGCATAGTCTCTACTCGTTCCAGGTGGATGGGTGGGTGGGCGAGGATAGAGAGGGTGGTTTAATGGACGACTACCGAGAAATGCAGGCAAGTGGGGGGGGGGGTAGGTGGAAAGGATTCATGATGCATGGGCAAGTAGATTTGTTTGACGGCGAGGAAGGGCAAGATACTCGTAGGTGTAGGTAGGTAGGAGGAAAGTATGATAGGAAGGTATCATACCGGTGGGTAGCAAACAAACAAGGAGAGTTTAGGTGGCGGAAGGGAAGTGTGAGAGATGTACCGTACTCTGCTGTACTAAGCGCCGGTGGGTGGGAGTACGAGTATAGTGAAGTGTACCGAGAATTACTCTCTATGAGGGAAGCGGCCTTTTACCAGGAATAGAAGGGAGAGAGATCCCGCCATACATTTTCGCAACCAAGGTTAGCAGCATAACCATGCTGAATCACGCTATCCACACCACATACGGCCGACCAGGGGAGCACTGAGCGAGGCCACCGATGGGGAACAAGGCCAGGGAGGATTTGGGGGGGACGAACAAGTACTGTACCATGGACCAAGTACTAGAAAGTGCTCCACTGCACTGTACTGTACAGTACTGTACAGTACGTGCAGTATGGTATCACACATCCAGCGCAGTCCTACAAACCATCCTCATCCTCCGAAATCAAGATAGGGTATGATATGATATTTCACCTCACCTCTCCACCCCACACTGCACCGCACTGCGCACGCGTATGGCGCAAGCAGTAAGAATTCAAATACCGAGAACCGCTCCGATAGCATAATATCGTCATCAATCACATCATATCTCATCGCATAAATTTAACCCGACACAAATTCGCCCTTTAGTACGATAGTGAACACCGGAGGAAAAGAGAATTCACCCGCTCACTCGCTCACTCACTCATTCAACATTCTTTACTCCAAAAAAGCCTGAAACACTCCCGTCACAAAGTATTCGAACCCGGACACAAACCCCCTGCAGAAAGGGTTCGCGCAGATAACCCTACTCAAGTACAAGTGGCATTGTGGGGGAGGAGGTATCATACCGCACGGTACTCGAGTAGCGTTGCTTCTTCTTTTCTTAGACGAAACTAACCCCATCCAATAATAAGCGCCCGCTTATCCATCGGGAGAAGAGCCTCCCCCGGACGGAACAGACACAGATCTCCCACCGCATGCATCCTCATCGGTCGAAAAAATAAAAAAAGAGGAAAGAAGGAAAACTCTTCCTCAGCATCACCAGACAAATTACCAAGCACCACTGCTGACTTCAAACGGGACAAAAAACGACCTGCCCCTCTGGCCCCCATCGGGCCGGAAACTCAAATCCTCTCCGAGCAATTCATACCATGATCGAAGCCCAAGTTACTCGCTCGCATCGCGGTGAACATCCAGAACTTGGGAAGCCACACCGTCGGTAAAGCACACGGACCAAAGCCAAAGTCAAAGCGAGGATAAAGAAAAACCACCACAACCCCCACCACCATCACCACGCAGACTAAAATCCACGGGATTTTCCCCCGTTTTTTTTTTTCCCTTTGCCTGTCCAAGCCACACCATTATAACGGGCTAGGTTAGTTTGGGTGAAGTTAGCTAAGCCAGACAACCCCGTTGCGCGGTGGGAGCACTGGGAGGAAGCAGGCAAGGCGAAAGCCGTGCGAGTACTTGCACGTACTGTATGCAATGTACAGTACCGTACGGTACCCCCCGAATATGGTACACACGACCGGGGGGTATCGTGACGAGGAAAGGGAGAGAAGAGGTTGAAGCGAAAGGATTAAAATAAACCAGCGAGAGCACACGGACGGACAGACGCGGGAGGGAGCAGGGGGGGGTAAAATTGGATACAAGTAAATACATACCATGCTCTTGGAAACAAAGCCCTTCAGATACCGTACCATCCGACCGGGAAATATGGCATCGAAGGGGGATGAAAATTTTTCACTGAATCACCTTCCCTCTGTCCCATGATGAAATCAATTTTTAGAATTTTCTACTTTCTGTTGAAAGCCTCGGATGGATATCGACAAGTAATATAGGAATTGAGATAGAAGAATTGCATGATTTACTATGGTGCTCGGGGGGATTGATATATACCCGAGTACTGTACAGTACCCCTATCCTAGCCGTCCATATCCAGACTCCCACAGACCGCTGAACGCTCATAGACTAGCTCGCCTGCCAAGCATCATGAGCTCAAAGATACTGGCACGGACACAGTATGATATTCGCATATTCCAACACTTTCGGATAACCCCTCTGTGTTGGTCACTTAAGGGTTGGCACTGTTTTTCCAAGAACCCCGAGAAAATCACCAACAAATTCGCTCTATCGCTCAGCTCTTGTTAGAGAAAGTACCATCAGGCTTCGGGGAATCCTAATTTTCCTATGATTTCCCTTCTTCCAATTTCTTCACGATAAAACGATGGATGAAAGTGTGTGCAAGCACTTTGTGTTTATTGCAATGTGAAACCTTGCTGAGGATACTGTACTTGTACTGTACCGGTACTCGTACAAGCATTCTTGCTAAGGTCACACTTTTTCGGCGGAATATTTCCCGCCGAGCGCACAAGTGTCCGGAGGGTTTTCACAATCGGATACCGGTAGGTGGGGCGGGGTGGTGTGCGTTTACGGTACTGTACTGTACAGTACTAGTACCCTACTCCACCATAGCATAGAAGGATTATGAAAGAATGCAGCACGATTGAGGCTCGTTGCGAGCGAAACCTTATCTTGTCATCGTGATGCGAGGCAGGGGCGAGCGTGTGGGTGAGATTGGAGAATTAATGAATGAGTGGGGCTGGTGAGGAGATATGATGGCACAAAGAGCACACATACGGAAGTGATGAACAGTATGACAGGAACGAAATGAAGAACTCAGCCTTCGTATACCAGGCAAGTACGATACAGAGTATGATACCTGTCACCGCAGACTGATCGAGCACATGATAAATCGCGAGCGGAGAGTAATTTGACCCTTGAACCATCCTACCCACTACTCAGCGTTACTGTACAGTACTGTACAACCCCCTTTCGGTCCTCGAAGCTTAGCTTAGCTTAGCTCACCGTACTGTATTAACTGGAATGGTCGAACCTCGCGCCTAGACGTCCAAAATCCCCTCTCTCTTGGATGGGGGGGCAAAAAATACCGGGGAAACTGACGACTCCCCCCCAGCCTGAGCGTAAGGCGGGAGGGGAAAAAAAAAAGTACTTGTGAGAGAATGTCGCACCTGGCCAGCAAATGCAACTCCAACGTCCAAGCGCGAGGTTTAATTACCGTGTTTACTTCGCTCGTGTGATACACTATCAGATTATCAACATCTGTCAGCACACGATAGGTTTCGTTTGTTAAGTTAAAAGAGCCGCGAGTGGTTAGTGCGGTCCAACACATGGCCGGCTGAGCTTATGCTGTGTCCGAGAAAAGACTAATCTTTCTCTCTCGGCGGACGCTGGATAGGTAATCTGGAGCTTGTTGCTCGGAATCCGGAGATTGGATTACACGGATAAATACGGTACCGGTATCCTAGTGCATTATTCCTTGGGCGGCGTGAAACTAGTTGTTGGGCGGGCTACATCGGATGTGGAATGGGTTGGGTTTGTGAGAGTTGGGAATTGTAGGGTCTGGAGATGTTGAGTTAGTTTATGAAAGGTCCCAATTTTGCTGCCGACGAATAGCTATTTGGTATGACAAGTAGCTATCATATCTGTACGAGTTTTGGTTTGGCGTCCCCGGTAACTAATTTTACTGTTTCACACCCCCCAGGGGATAGGGTATCATACCGGTACTCGAGTACCGTGGCTTAACGGCTTACCAAGACTCTTAATACACAAACACACGCCTCCTCCAAATGTTGTACGACACAGTACTGTACGAGTACAGTACTCGTAGGGGAAAGGGAAGGGTTTGTGCAACTCGACTCGGAATGGCTAGGCGGATGGTGGCGTCTAGCCTTTGTGATTGTTGATTTACCTGAACTTTTCAAGTTGAAGCCAAATCCTGCTCTACTCGTACTGTACTAGTACTGTACTCCGGACGGTCCACCCCCGTACCCGTTACGCAAATGCTCTAGCTAAGGTAATTTACAATACGCGCTGAAGCTTCACCTCACTCATCAATCGTCAGACCGGCGGGAAAAAAAGAATAATACTCGGGTAAGAGAAACGGCGGGGTACAGGTACGAGACGATACGACATCGTACCTGGCTAATTACTTGAAAAGTTAGCGTATTAGTCAGTTAGTGCTGGCACTGTACCACACCCCGTGTTTCCTCTCACACCATTTAAGAAGGACGAGGGTTCGAATCAGACCTTCTTAGCTGACTCTTCGGGAGATGGATTGATCAGTCGCGGACGGCTGCTTAAACGGGCGGAGTGAGGATTGGGTAGAGCACGATGTGGATAGGAGTGCTTGGTAATTAAATAGAACGGAGATGAGGGAATGAAGGAGCAGGAAAGGCATTCGTTTGAAAGTATTATATTATGCTCTTTTGCTCACCAGGGGGCAGAATGAACTTGCCACTGTATGAGTGAGTCGTGTATT